GGTGTTAAAACTCAATAAAAATTGTTATTAAAAAAAAAAATAGGGACACTGCTTTGGGAGGTCCCACCAAGATGTCCTCCACCTCAGAAGAAGAACAGTCCATTGGACACGTACCGTGAAGAGCCCTTCTCCTTTGAGGACAGGAAGACATCTTTTCCCTCCCATGCTGCCATCAGGTTAGGTCCTCCCAATGGGATCGCTTCCTGTCTTAATAGACATCTCCTGTACACACCAGTTGATCATTTTCTTAATTTCTTACCGTTCAAGCAGACCGTTTATTTAATAGAGTTAAGGTATAAAAGAACTGCTTTCGGAAGGGAAGGGAAGAGTGACTCCCACGTCGGAGACAGGAAGTGAGAGGAATTTGTTTCTGCCTCCCTGATAGGACAGTGGGAATCACCCACCAAGATGTCCTCCTGTCCGCAGAAGAAAAGGGTCCGTCACAGTAAGGGTCTGATCCTCTGAATCCCAGAGCCAGGAGGCAACATTAGGGGAAGGCCTCGGCCTCTCTGTCCTGTTGTTGGCCCTCCAGAGGAACTGGTTGGCCACTGTGTGAGACAGGAGGCTGGACTAGATGGACCACGGGTCTGATCCAGCAGGGGTCTTGTGTTTTTAATGCCCGTGTTAGGCTATTGGGGGAATAGTTTTTGCCCAAGTCTTTTTCTGTTACAGGTGTTGAACCAGAGCCCTTTGCCATTGGGGATCATCTAATTGACGTCAGTGGGAAACTGAGCTTATTGGACAAGCTTCTCTCATTCCTGCATGCTGGGTATGTTGCATTGCTGTAAATCAGAGTTCCCTAACGTTAGGTTTGCCAGGTGTTACCACTCTGCCGACAGGGCAGACCTGTCTCCTGGTTTGGTCCTGGGGTCTTCTGGTGTGCGCGCTTTCCATGTGCGCCACAGTGCCGTCACCCAGAAGTGATCTCATCACACTGGGCACATACAGGGGATGCTCTGGCATTTGGCTAAAATTTGATGACCATAGAGTTTTTAGCCAAATGCTAGAGCATCCCCCACATGACGTGCCCGGCATGATGACGTCACCTCTGGGTGACATCATCACAGTGGGGCTGTTTGGAGATTGGGGCCCCCGAAATCGGGGGAATCCCCGCCCCCATCGGGGGGGGGTTGGCAACCCTACCCAACGTGGTGCATTGGGGGCACCTTGGCACCTGCCAGTCCTTCCCTTGGTGCCTGCTGAGCTTTTCAGAAAGTGGGGGTGGGGCCATTGTAAGGCAGGGTTTGTCATTCTTCTCTGTATAGATTCAAAGCTATTTTATTTTATTTTTAGAGGGGTTTTATAAAGTTTCTACCTCCGCTACCTGGCATTACATTTGATGACACTCGTGGCCCGGCCCTACAAGGTCTCATTTATGTCAGATCCGGCCCTCATAAAAAATGAGTTCGACACCCCTGGTGTAGGATATAAGACGCCTAGCTTTAGAAGTGCACGTGGTTTCGGATTCTGACAAGCTTTCTATATGTATGTGCACACTCAAGGCCCAGCTGATGGGAGCTTAGCCTACATATTTTGTAAGTTTGATGCTTTATTAAAAATCTCTTTTTCCTCCAGGCCAGTTTGGGCAGGGATCTTGGAGGGTCACCGGGGGCGTGGGGGGGGGGGGGGAGCAGTTGTGAATTTCCTGCATTGTGCAGGGGGTTGGACTAGATGACCCTGGAGGTCCCCTCCAACTCTATGATTCTAAGCAAACCTGGATCTTGCGTATCGTTTCCGTAGGATTTCTTCAAATCTGGAACAGGGATTTTTGGAGGGTGGGTGTAATAAATATACATCTAAGTTCACTAAAGAAGAGGTCGTGCAGCATCATGCATCCAGCCATTTCACTTTCCCCTCTAGCACATGCACACAGGCGCGGCACACCACAGTATCTCCCTTCTAATAAAGCAGGTGGGCGAACATGGAGACGGGCCAGAGTGAAAGCTGTCCTGTGTGTGGAGCCGTGAAAAAGTTAGAAGTTGGAATAGATCAAGGCTTGGGAATACGAACAGTCCTGTTCCACGAGGCCTGACTGTAGAAATGGGGCACTGCTTGCTTCCGCTTCCATAGGACATCTTTGTATTTTGGTTTCAAGGGTGTACATGAGTAATGCCCACTGGGTGGCCATGACCATCTGCTGGTGAAGTTCTGTTTACATGCTGTTATGTATTCAGTCTAAGCCTTCCTCTAGCTGCACCTAGAACAGGCTGAGCTTGCTTCTCTGGAACAATAGCTCGCCTGGATCCAGGAACTAACCTATGATAAGCAGTGTTATATAAATAGCCTATCACTGGGAGTGGGTGTGTGTTGGGTGTGGTGCTTTGCATGCTTATAAGCAGGGCTCCGGCCCTGCTAGCTTCATCTCGTGTTATGCTGAAATCACTTAATAAACCAGACTGATCACTGCAACGCGTCTAGAACCCAGTATTTAATGCATGCGCTTCTGCCATTGTTCATGGAGCTACTCTGTGATGAGCCTAGACTTTCGATGGACTCCCTCGCCCATGGTCCAGTCCTCAGTTTCTTTCCATAGCAGTGAGTGCCTCTGAGTTCAGTGGGTCTTTTTCCCCCAAGGAAGATGGATTGCCCCCAGCAGAGCCGAGCTCTGGAGCTTCTCTTCTTCTTTCTTCCAGTGGCCACCGAGTGTTACTGTTTTCCCAGATGACACGAATGCTGGATATTCTCCAGGACTACATGGATTATAGAGGTAAATGCTTCTCTCTCTGGGCTTGACGGGTAGAATTTCTTTCCGTGGCTGTCGGGGGGGGGGGGATCCTTCTGTTGATCCTTTGCACCAGCCCTAATGGGAAAACGTCTCTTGTTGTTTTCCTGGATCTTTGGCTGCATTGCATTGAATCAAAAAATACAGGTTGACCATTCTACAGGAAAGGTCTTGGAAAATACCTGGAGATTTGGGGGGGGACCCTGAAGAGAGCAATGTTTTGGGAGGGGGGGCCTATTCAGGCTATAGTGCCCATAGAGTCCACCCTCCAAAGCAGCCATTTTCTCCAGGGCAACTGATCTCTGTAGCCTGGAGACCACTTGTACAAACAGGAGATCTCCAGGTCCCACCTGGAGGGTGGCAAGCCTAGTCTTGGGGCAGAGCTTCGGCTTGGCCCCAGAATCCATCTACAGTGACAAAATGCGGCCATCAGTAACAAATGAGAGAGCGTATCTGAACATGTGCAGACTTGCATGTTTGTTCTCCGCTCCGTACCCTGGCCGCTGAAACCAAGGCCTGTTCAGGGCCACAGGTAACCCTTGCCTGAGCGTTATGATGGTGCATCATACCTGGTGCAAATACTGGAACTTAGTGGCAATGCTCCCTCTGAGCTGTGGAGTCTTGTGAGCAAAAATCCCACTTGGTGAGCCGCTGGCATGAAAGTTGTGAGCGAGTGATTTGGCTGCTGCGTAAATTAGTGTGCTCTGGAGCCCTCCTTCCTGAGCCGAGACAACAATGTGTGAACTCAGCTTAGAGGGAACACTGCCTGCAATGCTCCCTCTCAGCTGTGGAGTCTTGTGAGCAAAAAATTCCACTTTGTGAGCAACTGGCATTCAAGTTGCGAGTGAGCTATTTGGCTGCTACATAAATTAGTTTGCCCTGGAAGCCCTCCTTCCTGAGCTGAGACTAAAATGTGTGAGCCAGAGGCTAAAGAACTGAGAGCTGGCTCACACTAACTCAGCTTAGAGGGAACACTGCCTGCAATGCTCCCTCTGAGCTGTGGAGTCTTGTGAGCAACAATTCCACTTGGTGAGCCGCTGGCATGAAAGTTGTGAGCCAGCGATTTGGCTGCTGCGTCAATTAGTGTGCTCTGGACCCGTCCTTCCTGAGCCGAGACAAAAATGTGTGAGCCAGAGGCTAAGAAACTGTGGGCTAGCTCGCACGAACTCAGCTTAGAGGGAACACCGCCAAGCAGCTTGCTTTGCAATGGAGCGGCAGAGCAGGGATGAGGAGAAACCCCCCCCCCCTCTGAATATAAAACCAACACAAGGATGGGACAGAAGCAGGAAGGGCCGAGCCGAAGAGGGTCTGTGGTAGAGAGCTGTGAGAAGCACAAGGCAAAAAAGAAGAATGGGCAGAGGGTGCTGTAGTGACTCTGCTTGTCCGTTGTTGAGGGCCAGCAGGGAGTAGTGGTGAGCATGTCGGACTAGGATCGGGGAGACTCCCCACTCTGCCATCGTATCTCCCTGGGTGACCTTGGGCTGGTCGTGGTTAGGAGCGTGGGCGTTAATCTGGAAGGACCGCGTTTGATTCCTCCACATACAGCCAGCTGGGTGACCTTGGGTCAGTCACGAGTTCTCTCAGAGCCACTCTCTCAAGGGCAGTCCCTCTCAAGACACTGGGATGTAAAGAACAATTTGATTTGCTTTGATAGTTACTAAAAACTAAATGATAATAGAATAAGGATAAATGTATAAGAATATGAATTGAAATATGTTACCTATAGACTGTGAACAGCGAGAAAGGGAGATATAAAGAAAATC